GGATTGCGCGTTAGGGTTTAGGGTTTAGGGTTTTCTCAAAGGGTGTATTCAGATACCCTTTGCTTAAGAGCAGTGTCCCGTAGAAGAAACATGGATCAATCATCCTAGACCAATGTTCCAACTTTCTGGAATTCGCTGTAAGACTCTGGAGTACGATCTGGTAAAGGGCAAGCTACTTTACCATTGAAGCCCTCGGCCGTTTAGGAACCCTAAGCCGTGACGAGTGCGACATTTCTTCAGCATTGATGAGGTTCTACCCGAACATGGACCCAAGACCAGGAACGCTGAAGCCCAAACTGTGAGGGTGGGGGCTTTGAAATCTTACCAACCGAAACCTTCTCGTTTATAGGGTCCTTTTAAACTCATGTAAACTCCGAAGCATTGCTTGTTAACAAGAACAGCAGCCCGAAGGTACAGGCCATGGTAGCCCTAAGCCCAAAAAACCCTAAGCCCAAAACCCTTAACCCCAAACCCTAAACTGTAGCCATTTTGGCTCAAGGCCCCTGGTGCGCTGTTGCCCCCTTTCCTTGCGGAGGCCGCCAGCGGGTGAGCGTCCCTGTCTAGGGTGGTCTGGGCCATAGGCGTGCGCTGCTGGGGCATAGTGGGCGACGGTGAGCTGACCCTGTCCATCGCTGAGGAGGTCGGCGAGTCTTCGGGGCCCGGGTTGCCTTCGATTACACGATTCTCCGGAAGTTCGGCATGGCGGGCGGGTCTCGTAGGCCGATGCACCTGGACCTTGCTCAGGAAGTGCCGGTGCCCACAAGCCCGATGAGTGCAAAGCGGCAGGGGGACAAAGATGATGGCGGCAGGGCAAAGCGGCAGGGGGACAAAGATGATGGCGGCAGGTCGCCGAAGAGGGGGACGGCCCCGAGTGTTGTCACCGTGGACATGCAGCACCTGGAAATGCTCCTGCAGCAGAATGGCGAGAAGATCATGGAGGCCCAGCGGATGCATCTTGAGGCACGGATGGGGGCCCTAGAGGAACTCACAGGCAAGCGGATGGCCTCGGCGGAGACCCGCTTGGGCAATATGGAGACCAAGATGGAAACAGTGGAGGCCCGGATTGAAGATCTGGTCCAACAGATGAAAGAGGGTGCAGGTCGGGGGTCGGCCGGGCCTGCGGGAGCGGAGAGACAGCTGACGTTAGTGTATGGTGGATGGCAGCGAGATACCCGTAGGGCTGACATACTCAAGGACTTCAAGGCTGCTCTTCAGAAACTGGAGGTGTGGGATCTGCTCGATTTCGACCCCTTTGTCACGGGTCCGCGGAGGTCTACGGCACTGAGTGTGTTCGAAGTCCGGGGTGGGGAAACCGAGTACCATACCAAGCGCCGCATGCACCGCGTGGTCAGGGCGCTTGCCGAGAACCAGGTGCACTTGCAGGGAGGCAAGAAAATGTTCGCTACTTATGCGCGCAGCAAGCAGGAAAGGGAGATGGCCTCGCACGCTTCCTGGGTCCGCAGGGCTGTCCACAACTTAGATGCCGACAAGGTTGCCTTGCTGGACCTCGAGTACCAGACAGGAGGAGTGTGGGCAGGGAACAGCTTCGTGGCTTCGGCCAAGCAGCCTTGCCCCCCTGGGGTGGCGCCGAGTGACCTGATCATCAATGAGGACAAGGTGGGCAGGCCGTGGGTGAACATCAGGGCTTTATCCAGGGAGCTTGGGGTTCCGCGGAAGCAGCTAGAGGACCACCTTGAGGAGGCCAAGTACTGACCGCAGCCTCGCCAGGGGGAAGGGCCTCAGAGCGGGCCGCAACTGAATTCGCTGGTGAAGTTCCCGCTGTACAGCTGGAATGTTGGGGGTGCTGCGCATGCTGATTACCCCCAGGTCGTCGCCGATTGGGTGGGAGCTCTACCAGATGATGCACTTCTTTGCCTTCAGGAACTTCCACGGGCACAACGAGGGTGGCAACGGCAGAATCAGGGGTCGTGGCTGCTGGTGTCCCACCGTCATGACGAAGCGTGGCGTGGGTCTGGTGTTGCCTTCCGCTCGGCACAATGGAAAGTCATGCGCCGAAAAGCCTCGGAGCGCGGAGTGTGGCTTAGACTTAGGCACCTCTCTGGGGTCGAAGTGTGGGTGGGAAGTGCCCACTTCTCGCCAGGTTGCACTCAGACCCAGCATGCCGCGCAGGTCTCGGGACACCTACAGGAGCTACCGCCGACGCAACTAGGGACCATCTTGGGGTGTGATGTAAATGCTGAAGTCAGTTGGGGTCAAGATGAAGAGGGAGTGCGAAGGGCAATTGGCAGGAATGGCAAGACGACCGAGTTCCTGCAGCAGTGCCGGGGTCGAGGGCTGGTTGCTGTAGCTCCGCCTGAGGACGCATGGGAGACGCCAACTACGAGGCCCAGACAGCAGGACAAGGCAGGGAAACAGATTGACGCGCTTCTGTGCTCCAGGGTGCAACATAGCAGCTTACACATCCATGTGGGGTCTTTCTGCAGCTTGAACACTGATCATGAGATCCTGTCGACTGATGTGGCGCTGAGGGTTGGGAAGACGGGGACCAAGCACACAACAAGACCCAGAACCCTGGTGACACCAATCACAACCGTTGGGGAGCTTGATCAGGCAGAGCTGCGACGGCTTGCGGAGCAGCACACCCAACCGCAGCGGGGCCATGCGTACAGGGACCCGGTGAGTGTGAGACGTGCTTTTCGAGCAGCCAGGGATGCGGGCGAGCAGGGGCAGTGGACACAGGCTAGGAGGATGCGGAAGGAAGCCCGGCAACGATGGGAACGTGACCGCCTGGAAAGGGCCACGAATGGGGACTGGGGAGCGGTGAAGCAGCTTCGCAGGCAGGCTGATACGGGGTGGGATGTCTCCTTTGCAGAGGCCAATGAGGGCAAAGACCCCCACCAAGTCATCCATGACCATCTGGCGGGGATTTATACCACAGGAGATGTAGTTCCACCTTTGTCGCCCTGGGAAGGCGACGTAGTGCCCTTTGACCTGGGAGAGCTACGGGAGGCCCTGGCACAGGGGAAGACCGGGAAAGCAGTAGGGACGGACTGCACCAGCCACGAACTTATGCAAGGAATCGCAGCTACGGAGCAGGGACAGCAACGCCTCTTGGATCTCTACAACAGACTCTATGCATCCCAGACTGTGCCCCAGGACTGGAATGAGGCCCTAATGATCGTGATCCCCAAGGAAAGAGGCCCTACAGAGCCCAAGGCATTGAGACCATTGGCCATGGGGTCGGCGGCTGCCAAGGTCTACAGCCGCCTACTACTGGCCAGGACATTGCCTTTCTTGCAGTTAAAGGGGAGCCTGCAGTGTGCAGGGAAGCACAAGCAGCCGTCGGAGTACATCTTTTCGATTGCGAGGGTCATGGACTTGGAGGCTGAGTGGCATAGGGGGATAGTGGCTGCAAAACTGGACATCACCAAAGCATATGACATGGTCCACAGGCCTTCCATGCTGCGGAAACTGAAGCACGCTCTGGGGGATGGGCCGACATATCGTGCGTGGCACTCATTGCTCTCTGACACTACCGCAGTCCTGCAGACAGGGTGGAACACCTCGTACCTACAACTAGATCGTGGCATCAAGCAAGGGTCGATTGAAAGCCCGGCGCTCTTTGCCTACCTAGCAGACACTATCCTGGATGACACCAGGCACAAGCACAGCTGGGCAAAACGGAGACAGGCCTTCCCAGACCTTGACCTGGAGGAATTGATGTTCATGGACGACGGCCTGCTTTGGGCTGAGGACGCCAAGGCGCTGTCTCGGAAACTACAGGAGTGGGCTGATGAACTGGCTGCACATGGTCTGTCCTTGAACCCCCTGAAGTGTAAAGTGTACTTCTCCCCCTATGCAGACACGCGGCAGCAAGTGCGAGTCAACGGTGATGCAGTCCCTCGAGTTTCGGTCCTGGAAGTCATGGGGCTGCCCTTCCGGGTAGGAGTGGGCCCCACGGAGCTTCTGGCACCGCTGGCGGCCAAGGCCCGCGATGCCTTTTGGGGCGCCAGACACTTGTTCAGAGCACAAACACCCCTCAAAGGGAGAGTCTTGCTGCTTGAGAAGATCATTGGTGGTAAGATGCTGTGGTGTATAAGCGCACTGGCGCCTGACGCTGGGGCACTTGCGGTCATTAACTCGTTACAACTGCAACTGGTGATTTGGGCGATGAGGGTGGCCAAAGGGTCTGATGAAACCTGGCTGTCGTTTAAACAGAGGGCCTACAGAGGAGCGAGGCAGGTCGTGTGGAGGGTCCTTGGGAAGAGGTGGTCCACAAGGTGGCTTGAGCAATGGTGGAACTTTGCGGGGCACAGGACAAGGGGTTGGCAGCTTGGTGATCCGGGGCCTGCGACCAGGATTGACGCTTACCGGACGAGGACGTGGTGGAAGGCCCAGCAAGACAAGGCCGTGGGAGGGGTTCGACATCCACGACATTATCCCAAGTTGTCGAATCTTGAAAGGGACATGGACAGTGCAGCTAGGGGTACAGCATGGCGTGATACAGCTATGGACAGGGTGCAGTGGAGGGGTTGTCTTCAGAATTGGGTGACCAAGATGGATTTGCCCTGGACTGGGGGCAGACAGGGGACGCTTCGCAACTAGTGCAGAGGGCTCTGTGGCCGAGTGAAAACGTGTACGCATGTTGGAGTGTGCCCGGCAGCTTTGGCTAGCACTTGCGCGTCGACAAGCCTCGACGGCCAGCCATGATGCACCTTGTTTTGGCGCTGTGCGCCCTCCATGTGGTCCTTGCCGATGTGGCGGGACAAGGGTCTCCTCAAGGGAACCCGCTCAGAAAGCCGAAGCGCATTTTGCGCCTTACGAATTCGCCGACACTCAGCTCGTCCCGCCTTGACGACATGGCCCTCGCGGGTGGCCACGGGATGGAGCGACACCACAATACCGCAGTGGATGCGGGTGACATGAAAAGTGGGAAAGAGTACCAGATGGCCGAGGTCGTGCCGGAGCTGCACCCCCAGAAGCTGCGCGAGCAGGCGATCAGGGACTTTCTCGGGGTGACGGATCAGATGTATAGGTACCAAGAGCGACGCCGCAACGGTGAAGGGATGAGAGCTGCAAGAATGGAGCGGGGGAAGCTTGCCGGACACTACCAGAGTCATGAGAATGGCGCCAAGAGGGAGCACCTGGAGGCCAAGGACGTGGCGGAGCTGAACGCCCAGAACCCGCCCAAGGAAGCGATGAGGGACTACCAGAGGGTGATGAAACAGACGTATGGTTACCAGAGGGAGGTTGCGGAGCTTCCTGGACTTACACAGAAAGGTGAGGCCTTGCTCCCCGACTCTGACGACGTGGCCCTCGCTGCTGGCCGCGGGAGGGAGCAACACCACGATACCGCAGAGCATGTGAATGGAATGGAAGCGGGGAGGGAGTACCAGATGGCCGTGGTCACGACGGTGCTGAACCCCCAGACCATGCCCGGGCACTCGATCAGGGACTACTCCGGGGTGACGGATCGGATGTACGAGTACCGGGAGCGACACCGCAACGGTGATGCAAAGACAGCTGCAACAGTGAAGCAGGGGAAGGTCGCCGGCCGGTACCAACATGGTGAGAATGGAGCCAGGAGGGGGTACCTGGTGGCCAAGGACGTGACTGAGCCGAACGCCCAGAACATGCCCAAGCAAGCGATGAGGGACTTTCTCGGGGTGACATACGTGTACCAGGTGGGGCTTGCGGAGCGTTGTAGGCTTGCGCAGGCAGGAGAAGCCTTGCTCCCCGACTATGCGGACTCGAGCGACCAGGTTAACTTGATGCAGGCAATCGGGGTCATGCCATTCTCAGCCTACCTTGTGGAACTGCAGCGTCAGCTCGAAGCCATGCCCAAAGCGCAGCAGAAGCAGGCGGCGTACCACCTCCTCCGGTGGCTTAACTGGCATGGCACGGATAACAGGGCAGGCTACTGGTTGGGGCATATGCGAGGGCCCATTGCCTCGGTGACAGCACTACTGGTGGTGGTTTGGAACGAGGCTCAAACGTGTGAAGAGGAGGTGGAGCACTGGCCGGCTGCGTGGGTGCTGGAACAGCGAGCACGCCTACGGCAGTACATCCCGACACACCCGGGCTCGCTGGAAGCATGGGGGAATCCAATCCCGGAAGGCATGCCACACATCATGCTGTTCTCACGACCGCCGCCTGAGGTCACGCCTGACAGCTCACCGGTGGTGCTCGACTCGCAGGATGAATGCAATGAAAGGCCGCAGGCCGAGCAGGAACGCGACCAGCCGCGGAAGCGGGTCTACCTGGAGGTGGAGGTCAGCTCGGGGTCGACGGATGTGCCCAGGGTTGCTCGGGCCATGCGTGTCCCGCTTGTGGGCGCGCCCCCGGAGGCAATGCTGACAGTACGAGTTTGCGAAGAAGAGGCAGAGTGCGAGAGTACTGCCTCCACGGAAGCAGCTCACCCGCCTTCCGGCAGTATGCAGCACTTGGTGCTGCCACAGCCGGCGCCAGACGACCTGGGCGCCTTGGGGATCTCGCTCACGGACTACGTGCAATTGTGGGAGGCCTGGAAGACTGGGTGTTTATCCATGGAGGAAATAGCCCGGTGTCATGGCGGAACAGCGGCAAGGGCACTGCAGAGACGGTGGGGGCCGATGCCGACTGAGACTCACCTGGTGCCCGCCACGGTGCCAATGGAGGAAGTGGAGGCGGACTTGACTGCCACTGGAGAGGGTGACGACCTAGTGGCGCCACTCTCGCTCGACGCTCCCCTAGACGCAGTGGAGGAAGTGGAGCGGCCGGCAGCGGAAACGGCCCAAGATGACCAGGATGGGACCTCGCTGTTGATGCTCTACGCCCTCGCGCTGCCCTACCTCGTCGGGGCGGCCCAGGAGGAGTGTGTGCAGGTCCCGCCGATGTTCATCACTGTGGCGGTTCAGCAGGTTGAGTGCTGGCTGCGCCAAGGCCTAAGCGGGGCAATGCTAACGGCGGGACTACTTCGGAATGCGGAGGCAAGAGGGGACTTGGAGTATATGAATGCCTATGAGAGCTACATTGAAAGCCTGGGGCTGCCCTTCGAAGCCAACTATGCCCTGGTTGGTGAAATCGCGGCCCAGGATCGGGCCATCCTGGTCTGGATGGAGGCGGAGCTCTGGGATGACTATGTGGACCAGGTGGAGGAGCAGACTGGCTGGGAAAGTAACCAGGTGGGCACCATGCGAGCAGCAGCGACTATGTCCGGTCGGGACCGGCTCTGGTGGCGAGATCAAGTACTGCTGGATCTTGAGCGGCAAGGTCGACAGGAGGATGAGCCTGATGAGACGAACATGGTGCAGACCGGAAGGTCTGTAGGATCGAGGCCCCGACGAGGAGGAACTGCTGGATCTGGTGGTGCACGGGGGCCTGGGGACCGCCGAAGAGGAGGAGCTCGTCGAAGGAGACACCAGCCGAGAGCCAGGTCCAGGTCGCGGCCCAGGCCCGATCTGAGTGCCGCACCCTGGCGGCGAGCGAGAGCGGCTCCAGTGCCTGGGGCCACGGCGTGCCCTACGCGCCCCATGAACCTTGATGATGCTACCTGCAGGTGGCTCTTCCTCTTGGGATTGCGGGATGGCGAGGACTACTGGAGCCTTCAACCAGTACTACCAGAAAGGGACAGACGGCACCGGGAAGATGACCTACGCAGCCTGCCAGCCCGTGACCTGCCCGTCATGATGGCCGCCATGCTCAGGGTTTTGTCAATGCTTATGGTGGAGTGCTCCCAGCTGCTCCTTGTCCACCCACAAACGCGGCCTGATGATGAAGTTCTGGTGGAAGTCCATGACGATGAACATGAAGATGAGGAGACCATCTACATGCAGGGCCGCATGGTGGTGGAGAAGCGCAGACGCCTGGAGCACCAGGACGAGGTGGACCAGCTCGAAGAAGATCGACAACAACACGAGCAAGACGAGCGTCAGAGACAGCAAGAGGAGCACGATAGGGAGATGGAAGAGCAGGCGAAAGAGGATGAGCGCCTCTACCAAGCTCACCAGGGAGCGGTCTACAAGGACTGGGAGAATTGGGAGGTGGCAAATTACGTGCCGGGACCGCCTCGGCAGCGAATGGTCAAGGTGAGAGTTCAGCAGGCCTTGGGGAATGGTGACATGGTCTGCCACGATCTTCAGTGCTGCTTACCTCATGGACGTGGGCTTCCCAGTGTGCTGGTCTCGATGGAAGACGTGATGGAGGCTACGAGGACCAGTGTGGGGCCGTCGGAGCCGTCTCAGCCTGATCTGTCTGAAGGGTACCGGCAGTGGAAACTGGGACGTGTGACGGACGATTGGGTCAGGGCGGCCTTCGGTGCGGAGATCTTGTGCCTCTACCATGCACAGCTCCTTGCGGATGAGGAGGAGAACAATGCTGGCAATGGTGACGTTTGTGGACGAGATCCGGCTGGACGGCGTGTACCTTCGACTGCTGTTGACTCTGTGAGGTCTGAGGGGGCTACTGGGGATGAGATGGTCCCGTGACGGTGCCTGTCGGCGACTTCGGTGATGTGGTGTGAGTGGCTAGGGTTCTTTGACTAGATGGGGCTACTGCCCTGTCTGGCCCGCCTTCCCTATG